AAAGTACACGTGTGGCTAGTTGTATCCTCGTGAAATTGATGTAATATTGTATTTATCTGAATAAAGCTAAGTGCCGGAGACCTAAGTGGTCACCTTAATATTAAAAAATAAAAAAAAATATTATATTATTTTATTATACTAACTCTTTTTTTTTAGTGAAAAACAACATGATGAAAGATTATTAAAAATTTAAGAAGTTTATAATTCTTCTGGTATTCCTTATATTAGATGTAATAAAAGTAAAATAAAAAAACAACAAATTGCAATAAATTGTAAAAGTAAATACTATATTTAATTTAATTATTATATAAATTATTTTATTAAATATATTATTTAATATATTGTTGAATTTATAATTTAGCAACAATATTAAACAAAAATAAATCTGAACCAAAAATTTAACACAAAAGAAAAAGTTCTTTAGCAAATTCTAAAGTAAAAAAATTGCATCAAGATAATTTTCAAGTTACAAATATAATTAAAATAGATTCAGATAATGATTTACATGACCAAAAATATAAAATTCAAGTAGAAAACTCTAAAACTATATTAACAAATGAAATAAATCAAGAATCTGTTTCATATATTGAATTGGAAAAAAGAAAAATAGCTTTATTAGAATATCAAGCCAAACTTAGAAAAGAATTAGCCAAAGCAGAAACTATAAAATTACAAAATCAGCAACTAAAAATAAATTTGGGTTTACCATTATAGATATGTATAAAGATATTTAAACTTGTTTTATTAATTAGCTTAGTTTTTGCATATATGTATTCAGAAATATAATACAATATATTTTGCAAATGCAAATATGCTTGGTAAATTAAATATGCTTGAATAGAAATAATTTATATTAATTTTTAATAGCTATATATTTAAATATCCATAAATACTAGTATAAAAATTTATAAATTACATGTGTATGTACTAGCAAAATTTATATGTTATAAGTGTATGTACTACCAAAACTTTTGTACGTCTGTCTGAATCTGTACTACCATATAGTACTACTTTACTGAATATCTGTTCAGATATTATTTTCACCTTTTTAACATTTTGTACGTACTATGTACATATATAGCAGAAAAACATAAATACCATGTGACTAGCGATTATTAATCAAAGATATGATTAAAAATTATAAGACTCAAGACTTTGAAGGCGTATGAATTAAAAAAAAGTATTTAACAAATATTAATTAGAATTAACTTGAAGTGAAACTCTGTTAAAGAACAATAATAAGCAACTGTTACTCAAATTGTAGATTTAAAGTTATAATTATAATCACAATTGTTTCTTAATATTGTATTTTCTTCTTCTAATTTTTTTTATATTTTTTGGTCAGTTTTTTTTTTTAAATTTGTCTATTTCTTTCTCATTCTTCATATACTTCCTATAATAAATAAAACAAAAATGATCAGAAGCTTTTTAAGATTATCAGCTTGATATTTTTATTTCTTTATTGATTTCTTTTTTTTTTTTTTTTAGAAGCATTTTTTGACTAAAAAAATAGTATCTTGAGTTATATTAATGGTAATATGTATTGCCACTAATCAGCTACATATATACGTATGTATATACATATATTGTGAAAGTGGTGACTAACAGTTCTAATCTAAAACTAACTAAAACACTATCTAAACAGCTAAACAATCTACTATTAGGCTACAAGACACCTAAACCTTAAGTGAAAGGCTTTGAATAAAGATATAAAAGACTTGGTTTGAGATTCAAGGTTCTATGGAGTCTTGTTATATATTGCCAGGTTTTAATAAGTATTACTAGTCTTGTTATACTTCAGTTGTATATTTTGCTTCAATAATCCTAATACTAATATATCTTGTTCTATTTTAGACATATTTATATTTAAAGATAAAATAATCTATAGAGTTTCATAGTAATTTGTATATTCTATTTAATATACAATATATATAATTAATTTAAAATTTTATAATAGAATTATTCAAATTAAAATACTATATATTATCTATCTTTGGTACTAGCTTTATTCAAAAATTTAATTGTATTTAAAATAGATTTAACTGATTCAGATAATATAATTAATTTTGCTAAAGTATAAATTTCTTTAGAAAAATGCTTATTAAATAAATTTTTATATAATAAATAAATTAATAGTTAATTTTTTATTTAAATTAATTAATAAAAATAAATTTTATTAGATATTTAACTATTGAAAATGTATAATATATGATTTGAATATATGTATCAAATGTGTTTTTCAATATTTAGATTGATCTAGTTTATGTAAAGCAAGTTCTAAGCCTTTTGCTTGTTTAGCATCTAAATCTCTAATTATACATTTCCAACCTTTGCCAAGAATATGATAAATTTGTAGTAGTTGATTGATAAGTTCTTAAATTGTATTAAATAATGTATTAAATAATTTTTTATAGCCATTTGCTAAAGATATATTCATATAAATTCTACAATAGCTTAAAACTAAATTTTAATTAATATTATATTATATAAATAAAATATACTTAAAGGTAGAGTGTTTACAGATCAATTTTTATAGAAATCATATGTAAATCATATGAAATCACATAACTAACCAATCATAATTGTAAACACCTCAGATTTGACTAATCAGAATTAGTAATTCTTGTGTAATTGAACAAAATTTTAAGTTATCTAACTTTTTTTATCTATATATAAACATAAATATTTTTAAATAATTCAAGATATAAAATTTTACTAATATAAACAAAAGACTTCAAAGTATTTACCAAATAATTTTGATAAAATTTAATTATGTTTTTAAAAAGTTTTATTATACAAATTTTTGTTGTCTATATAAAATTTTGGTGTGCACATAAATCATATAAAAAAAATAATCTACAGACACTCTACTCTTAAAATAACTAGTGGTAAACATCATCATCCTAATTATTTTTAAAGTTAAGGTGTGGGTATTAAGAATTATTTTTTTATATATAATATAATATAGAGCTAATATAAGGTCCTAATTTTAGTTTTTATAAGGTTTTCAGAGGTCCTGAACATTTTTACTTAGAATACTCTATCCTGTTTACTTAGTATATTTTTGAGATATAAGCACCCTAGTGATAATCACCATTAGTTATAGTTAGTAATATTCTATATAATATATTATTATAAATTTATAAAATATAAAATAACTATACCCCACTTATCCAACTTATTACTATAGAAGAAACTCTTCTAACTATCTCCCAACTCCCTAATAATAAGGCATGTGGTCCCATTGGTATTAGTTATGAAATGATTAAACACCTCAACCACTCTTGTATCTCTTCTCTCACTGCTCTCTTCAACCTCTGCTTAACAATAACTATATACCAAAGCAATAAAAAAAAGAAAGAATCTTCCCTATTCTCAAAAACAATGCCTTTGATAGTGACCTAAACCTTACTCGTCTAATTAGCCTCATTAAACATACTCATAAAATTTATACCAAAATTCTCACTAATAGACTTAGCAAAGTTTTTATATAACAATTTATATTATCTCCCTATAATTATGTTGCATTACCAGGTAATAGCACATCTATTCCAATTCATATTCTCAACAATCTAATTGAAGATGCTAATAGTATTTACAAAGAAATATGGGTTCTCTCTCAAGACATGAGTAAGGCATATGACTCTATAAACTTTGCTTACTTTCAATACTCACTTTCTAGACTCACTCTTTCTCCTGCTATTATTAATATTCTTATCAATCTATTAACTAATTGCCAAAATAAAGTTATTACTAATTTTGGTTTAACTTTTCCATATCAAGTCCTTAATAGTATCGACCAAGACAAAACTATAACTCCTCTTCTGTGGTGTATTTACTATAACCCACTTATATCTTATATACAATCATCCTTCCCTGGCTATATAGCAGAAACTTCTTGGCTTACCAATCTTAAACAACAAACTACCAACCATGCTAGAGACAATTGCTCAGTCTTGGCTTATATGAATAACACCTTCTGGGTAGCATCCTTACAAACTAAGCTAGCTAATATTATTGCTATTGTAAAATCATTTTACTCAATAGCAAATATACAAGTTAACCCATCCAAATCAATTCTTACTACCAATACCAAATCTAATAGTCATAGCCCAACCCTATTCAATAATCAAGCTCTACCTGTTTGTCCTCCACACCAAACCTTCAAATTTTTACTCTGCTGGTTCTCCCTAAACAACAAACAATCTCAACAAGCCCAACTCATAATTTTTAAATCCTCACGATTAATTCAAATTGCCAATACTAAATGCATTAATAATACCCAGGCTCATTATATTATCAATAATGTTATTATTCCCTCTATTGAATATCAACTTCAAAACATCATTCTTAGCCAATCTCTTTGCAACAAATTTTTTCCCAACATATTGGTCTTGTTAAACATAAAGCTAAACTCAGCTGCACTATCTCAACAAGCACTCTCCTTCTCCTCCAAATCTACAATATCAAAAATATCTGGAATATTCAACTCCAACATTATATTTCCAACTTCCTTAAATAGTTAAACAACAAAGACCTACTTGGGTTATCAACTCAAATTAGAGTTCAACAGCTTCAGAACAACCTTTGGCCCCCTATTAGCATTTTTTTACACTCTAGCTATATTATTGATGGACCAGACAAGCATGCTACAAGTTTTAAAATTATACAACTTTTCAAATCAATTAATTGCTCCTTTAGTTCATGCTCCTATCTGCCAATTCCATTTACAATTCCAGAAGGCTCAATATCTCTTGAATCAATTTTTGCTCCTCACCCCAAATATTCTACTTTCAAAAAGCAACTCTGTCAGCACTACTTACTCTTTCTTGACCAACTTACTACATCTAACAACTCCTGTCTTCTAGACTGGACACATATCTCTCCAAGACTTAACAAAATCCCAAAGAGAAAATACCCCTCTGGTTTATTTATTTTGAAAGTCAAACTATTAACTCTTTCTGAATACTCCCTTGTACCAAACTAACTTCCTTCTTCTAACTATTATAGCTACAACAGTTCACTTTTACAAACACTTCAAGCCATGGCTCATTACTCTCATCAATAATCAAATAGTTATTGGAAAAGCCTACTGCCAGTCAAATAACTCTGGTTATACCTTAATAAACCACTAGTAATGCAATATAACAAATTACCAATCTCAACCATACCTCTTGCCCCTAATAACTACAGCTCCATGCTCTAATTGTTCTCTAAATTCAAATATTATTGCCAACAAGTATATTGTTCTTATCCCTACTAGCCATGCTATGAAATTCTTTGGCAGATTCAATCCTAACAAAACACTTAACTTTCACGCCAACTATCTTAATCTTTTATATTCAATTCTGCTCTTAAACCCAAGCACTCCCACACTTTACTCTAGTATCAATATTTCTGCTACTTAAATTTCTCCTGTTTTTGATCCTGGTCCTGCTTTTGATATATTGCAGGCAATTACCACTCAAAATAGTAACAGAATAACTTTATCTTTTATACTGATGGCTCTGTTCAAAACTTAGGCAACCCTCAATACTCCATAAGTATTGAGTGGTTACAACTTAACAACAATATATTACAACACATCTTTCAAGCTCAAATTGAATTCTGGCCTTGCTTCTTTAAAGCCAAACTTCTAGCAATTCTGTCAGCTATCTCTACAGTCCCAAGAAATTCTGCTATTAGTATTTACACTGACTCCCAATCTGTTATTT